ATGACAAGGCTTTCAACGTGTTACAGTTTTGAAAATGCTTTAAAGTGGCCAACGGACCTTAATGTTGTGTTTATTTCTCTGTCTCTACCTCTCCATTTGTCTGTCTCTGTCTCTCTGTCTCTGTCCATTTGTCTCTGTCTCTGCCTCTTCATCTGTCTCTCTCTATCTCTTCCTTTCCATCTGTTTGTCTCTGTCTCTGCTTCTCCATCTATCTGTCTCTGTCCTTCCCTCTATTTGTCTCTGCTTCTCCATTTGTCTCTCTTCCTCTCTTTCTGTCTCTGTCTCTCTCTGTCTCTTTTCATCTGTCTCTCTGCCACTCCATTTGCCTGTCTCTGTTTCTGTCTCTTTCTCTCTGTCCATTTGTCTCTGTCTCTCTCCTTTTCCATGTCTCTGCCTCTGCCTCTCTGTCTCTGTCCTTCCCTCTGTTTGTCTCTCTTTCTGTCTCTCTCTATCTGTCTTTCTCTCTGTCTCTCAAGGTTATCACAGTCTGCAGATTGCTTTAATTTGGCATAGCTCTGTTAGAAACAGGGCGGGAGTTTGCTTGTCTAAGTTTCAGTTACTTCCACTCTGGTTTCCTGCTTAAATCTGATGCGTTGGTTTTGAAAGCTGTCTCTTTAACAAGACACATGAAGCCCCTTCCCTTGCCATGGGAGGATTGGATTTTCCCCATTTCTTCTGATTCTTTTGCCATTTCTCCACCTGGGGGAGGTTGTGCTCCTGGTCTGTGGGGAGCCTTCCAGCACAAACCCTTCGCAAAGCTTCAAGAGCTTGTAAACAACCAAAGGAGGAGAGACTGTTCCTTCCAGGAAATTGGTTTGTTGATGCTGGGCTGTGATCTACATCAGACGCCCAGTCTTCAGTTGACTTGGCCAGTGTTTCATTAGGTCTTTGAAGAGTGGTCAGAGACAGACAGATGGAGAGGCAGAGACAGACAGACAGTGAAAGTGCGCCCAAAAAACCGAGGAAATGTTTTGGGCCAGCCACCTTCGAAATCCTTTTCCTAGTGAGCCCTGCCTTGGTTTCTGCATTCCTTTATCTTTCAAAGTACCCAAAGAAAACTTGCTTTGGGAAAGGAATCTTCCCTGGGAAAAAAGCAGGACTCCTGGAGATGTGGGAACTCTTGCAGGGGTTCAGTTGAGAATGCAAACTCAAACTTGATTTCATTAACTTGGGATAAATCCCTGTCAGCCACAATTTTTTTTTCACCTCACCATTCATAGGATGATAGAGCCTGAAGGAACCTTGAAGATCATCCGATACAGAGGATCTAAAAGTGTGGTCCTTGAGACCTTTCTGGGCCATCTGGGTCATCCAAACTATTTTCATGATAATACTAAGATGTAATTTGGCAATGAAAATACTGCCTTTTCCAACTATCTATCTTGTGAAGTATATCTCAACAGATAGGATGCAGAAGCAGATAGGAGAATTCAACTGTTTTTTTAAGTTAGACAGTAAAGGTAGTTGCAAATATATGTAATTTTTTTGTCTAGAAAAATAGTTTTTCCATGTTATTTATGTTGACAAATATGTTATTTATATTGACATGTAGTGGGTTTATTGTTATTTTAATTGAATTAATATTTTTAAATATGTTATTTATATTGACATGTAGTAGACTTATTATTATTTTTAACTGAATTAATATTTTTAAAAAGTATCAGTTTTAATTTCTAACCCACATAAACAAAAACTCTGTGGGGTCCTCAGTAATTTTTAAGACTATGAAGTGGTCCTGATATCAAAAAGTTAGAGAATTGCTGATCTAATCCACACCTGCCCCCAGTTTTTACCATTATCCCTGAAGGTAACAATGACTAACATTTATGTATGTATACTGTATATGTATACTGTACTATATGCTATTTGTATATGTATGTTGTAACATTTATTTATATATATGTATATATACACTACACTATATACTATCTATGTAACATTTATATATGTATACCACACTGTATACTATCTATGTATGTAACATTTATATATGTATACTATATATTATATACTATTTGTATATACTATATACTATTTATATGTGTATATTATACAATATACTGTTTATATATGTATATTATAACATTTATATTCATATACTATCATTGATATTATTAAATGAGATAATAGATGTCAAAGTGTTTTGCAAAGCTGGAAAAAATATATGAAATTTAGACACCATTCTTACATTTAAAAAAAAATCATGACCTTGACTGTTATTAACCAAAAAGAATATTTCCATATACAGCAGTCTGGCACGATGCATAGAATTCACTCAGATCCTGCCCAAGACATTTACTAGATGTGTGACCCTGGTAAAATCACTGAACTGCCTTCTGCTTCAGTGTTCTCATCTTTTAAATGGGGATAATGATAACACCTTTCTCCCAGGGCTGTTGTGAGGGTCAAGTGAGATGACAGTTGTAAAATACATTGTATAAATTGTAGCTATTATGTAGTAGCTTCTACAAAACACAGAACTCTCCCTTGGCTCTAATTATAGTGTTAGTACTAGGAAGTTACCAAGTAGCTTTCATTTGTGGCCACCATAATAATTACTGTAAGGGCCTATGTTTCTCTAGTGCTTTGTTTATAAACTTAGTCATGAGTACGTAGCCTGAACCAAGATTGGATTGCTGGCTTAAGCTTGGAAAAAGGCCTTGGAGAGGCCAGGGGATGGGGGGGGGGAGGGATGGCCACTCTAGAATGGCAATCTGACCCTACCATTTTTTTCATCTGGGAAGTTGATTGCATTCTTGACTCTTCATTTGGACATCTTTGAGAACCTGTCCTTCCATGGAATATTTTCAGAGAAAGTGAAGTGATGGGCAGGAAGATTTACTGCTCACTCTCAAGATTGGCCATTCTAGTGAGTGAAGAAATATTTACATGCCAAGGGCTGGTCTGAGGGGATACAAGGACCAAAATTGAAAGTTTCTGCCCAACACTCAAAACTTTCTTTTCTTTTAACATTATTATAATCATTGTATGTATTTTCTGATTATTTTATCCTGTATCAGTTCATAGAAATCTTTCCAGTTTTTCTCTGAATCTCAGCCATTTGCCGTTACTTATATCATGATAATCTTCCATTATATTCATGCACCACAATTTATTCAGACAATGTGTTTCCCATTTTTTATTACCACAAAAAGTGTGACTTTGAGTAGCTTGGCACAGATATGGATGGGACCTTTCTGACTTTTTTCTTGGGCATATATGTCTGCTACAGAATAGGATCTTTCCCCCTTTCTGGGCCAGAGGCAACTGGGTCACACAGAGTCCTGACATTAGACCTTTGGTTCTAACTTTTTACGAGTGTAGGTCAAGGAAGGAAAAATAAATTAGAAGTGCGGTCCTTCCTTATCCAATTAAATGTAAAAGTCTACTTCGGGTTGGGCTCTGCATGTGCCAAGTCTACCATTATTACAGGATTTCCTGTTGGCTGTAAGAGATCTGGAAAAGCCAAGTCATCCTCATGACTGTGCTTCTGAAGAGACGCTTATTCCACAGTCACTGGTTCATGGATCTCTTTAAAAACCAAACCAAACCATGTATAGTTCACTCCGGAGTTGCTGGAGCATTTAGGGGGAAATCTTGGAGGTCTACCCCCACTCTCAACGTATAAACCATTGCAAAATAGAGTCAATGGATTTATTTTTCAGAGTTCTGCAGCTGGAGTGCAGAAGGGGGCTACAGCAATGTTTCAGCACTCTGAGGATTTGGGAATCATATCAATTAGGAACTGGTTTAGGGTAATCCAGAATTTGGATTTAACAACTTGTTCTCATGCTACCACAAAATCAAAGTCGAAATAATCCTTTGGGCTTGGAATAAAGGGTTATTTAATAGACCCAGGCCTTAAATTAATCTTGACATGCCATTTGTTTTCAGGGTAAGGGTGAGTGTGACTCAATATAAAGTTAAAGGACACTTTATTTGGTGTCAGAGGACCTTAATTAAAATCTTGGCCAATACCATGTGCTACTCCTTGTGACCTTGGATAGATCTTTTTACTTCCTCTGGATTTCAGTTGCCTCATCTGTAAATGCAAAGTCTGGATTACATAGTTTCTGAGGTTTGTTCTAGCACTAAGCCATTGAACCTAGAACCTCTAAGGTTCTTTCTAACTCCTAGAGATGCGATCCCAACACTGGAAAAAAAATTACAAAGTAGGGTTAGGGGGGCAAAGGAGAAGAGGATAGGTAAGGATAGCAAAATCAAGGAAGAAGTGGATTTGAAATGATGGATTTAGAGAGAAGACCTGGGATTTCACCTCTGGACCTCAGGGAGGGAGAGAGGAGGATGGGGAGGAATTGAACTAGCTTTAAGGTTCTTTTCAACTCTGATTCTATGATCCTGTAAAAATCTGTATTTTAAGGACATCATTTATGTCTCCAACCATGTTCTTTTTTATCATTGATACTAACTTTAATGTCATTATTATTTCTTGATGACTACTGTTTCAAATCACAAACCCTCCCTTTAAGAAGTTTTGTCATGCAAAAGAAAACAACATTATGACTGCATCTTGCAATGTAGGTATGGCTTCTCCAACCCTGTTCTTTATAAATTCTAGTAGGCAGGGCATTCTGAGACCAGGGGAGGAAGTTATAGTGATCCCATGGAATATCAAAAGACTCTTTGATTTCTCAGGTTCCAATCAATTCGATGCAATAAACATTTATTAAATTCCTACTGGGTGCCTGGTATTGTGCTAAGTGCTGGGGATACAAAAAGAAGCAAAAGATAATCCCTGCCCTCAGGGAGTTTACAGTCTAGCAAGGAGTCCTTCCAGGAACTGGAGGAAGGCCCTTTGACTGAAGAATTCACCTGGTAACAGGCAGCTAGGTGGTGCAGTGGATAGAATGCTGGCCCTGCAGTCAGGAGGATTCGAGTTCAAATTCGGCCTCAGACACTTGACACTTAGTAGCTGTGTGACCCTGGGCAAGTCATTTAACCCCATTTCCTAGCCCCCCCCCAAAAAAAAAGGAATTCACCTGGTAACCAACTTAGTGATGAGCTGCTTTCGATTCATGTGGGCTGGTCCTTAGTTGGCACACATGTAGTCTAATCTGTGGGCAGATTTGCACTTACTGGCGGAGAATCCACGGTCAACCCCATGACCCCAGGAGGTATCTGTAGGACTTTAGTGGAGGAATCAGTTTGAAAATGAGCAGGGAAAGAAAAATCACTTTGAGGTTTATATGTTGCTCTGAATTATTGTGATCTCTTGCCTTTCGGTGAGATGTCCATTTTGACATCCTGGTTTCCTCTCTTGCCCTCTGATTTTGCCCAGTATGTGAAGGGAACTGTGTAATAAAGCACTGACCCATAGGAACCCTTCACCTGAGCAGGTACTCGTGCCTTCTGGTGCTCCTGGCCTTTGGTTTTCTTAGAATTTCTTCTTCTGGTTCTGCCCCCAGCCCCATCCCATTAGCCTATTCAGAAATCTTATCTTTTAAGGCTCTAGGTCAGAGTGATCTTTCCTGGATCACTGGTTCAGAGTGAGCTCTTCCCTGACTTCCATAGAACTAGAAGAATTCTATCCAGGCCACATCCCCCCTCCATTTTTAGCAAGGGAATCAAGAGTAGTTAAGTACCTTGTGCCAAGGTCAAGTACCTTACCCCAAGGTCAAGTCCAGCCCAGATTTGAACTGAAGGGCTAGACTACCAAGTGTCCTTTCTGTGTCACTGCCATCCTGTGACTTAATGTCACACTCCTTTGGAACTGATCACATATCATTCTGTGGCATCTGGTGTCATTTTTCTCTGACATTTATTCCTCATCTTAAGGCAGAAACACATTAAAAGTATTTCTCCAAGCTCAGGGTCCTCTAATCCTCGATTACAATTTTCAATTTAATTGATTTCCTTTGTAATCCTGTGCATTTTCCTGTGATATTCTGAGGAGGGATCTATAGGCTTCACCAGATCTGTCAAAGGTGGGTGGGGTCCAGGTCACAAAAAAAGGTGAAGAAGAAGCCTGAAGTAAGTCCTGAGTCCTTGGGGATACTTCTTTGTCTAACTTCTCCCCATTCCTTTCCCCTCCCCCCTCCAGAAAAAGAGGATGGGGCCTTGGAGTAGTAAACACTCAATAAATATTTTTAAGCATGGGGCTACTTTACCAGAAGTCTTTTGGGATCCAGATGTTTCATCAAGGCAGCCAGGAAGCAGTGGGGCTGGCCTCTTGGAAGAAGCTTGTGTCATGGGGGCCATTCCTTGCTTACCCTGGACCTTGGACCAAGAGAGCCTCCTGTGTAGGGACTTTGTCCAGCTTTAAATCCGTGATCCCGTGAACCCTGCTGACAGCAGAGTCAGCTGATTATGGGCGGCAGATGTGGCTAGAATTCAGTAGATTCTTCTGTAGCCAGGCCTATCCTATTGTAGAGCCTAGATTTAAAGCTGGAAGAGGGACCTCAGAGATGATCAATTCCCAACACCTTTTGATTTTACTGATGAGGAAACTGAGGCCCAGAGAGGTCCTCAGACTCCAAATCCTGTGCTCTTTTCACCACTGAAGGATCACAGAAATAATGGTCTGCTTAGACACCATTGCCTGATTTTCCATATGTCACAGTCTGGACTTGAAGCTGAAAAAAATTAGCATTTGTGGAAAGATTTGACTTAGAATAAAAATTGCTGATTGTTCTCCGTCCCACAGTCCCGTAGTCCCATTCCTTCCCTTCCCTCCGCACCCCCCCCTCCACACTGTGTTTAAGTTGAGAACCACTTCAAAGTGTCGGATGTGTCGGTGCCAGACGCCATGCAGTTATTGTTAAAAGAATTTGGAAATCTAATTGAAAACAAACTTTTTTTTTTGTTGTTGAGCAAAGCAGATCAGGTTGAGCTTTTGCTCTGGAGGAAGAATGGGATTCCAAGTTTGTCCTCCACTTGGAGCTGATGTCTACACACTTGTCCTGAGAGATGAATCATCCGTACATTCTCCTACATCTGGTAACTGTTTGCAGAGTTCAGAAATGCAAGCTGAAGAGACAGACTGGGCTTAAAGGGGCCGGGTGTTTGCAAGGTTCTTCCCAGGCTTGAATTTTTAAAAAAAAATGGGCTGACCCCAAATTGGCAGAATTGGTCAGGATTTTCCTTCTAGATGCCCTCTTTTTTATAAAGCACATAACAACAACAGAAAATGGAGTAGCCTCACTTATTTTTAGAGGCTCCCCCTCTTCTCTATTTTGAGGCAGTACTTATCCATTAAAAGTAAATGTCATTTTTAGGTTTTGAATTCATTTGAACTTTTGTTGTAAGTCTTTTATAAGTTGAATTAAGACCCTAGGCAGACATTGGTGAGCAAAGAAGTCATGGGACTATAAACATAATAATACTACCAACATCAGTAATAATAACATTAAGAATTGACCTTTATTCATATGGTGCTTAAATGCTTGCCCAGAGCTGCACATACATCTTCTTACAACCCTTTAAGGGGAGGTGCTGTACAGATATTATTCACACAGGAATCAGAGATGAAGTGAGTCCCTTTGGATTCCACAGCCAGGAGCAATTATACATGATTTAGTTTTCCTTGTTAGAAAACATCAACAGACTTCATGGAAGAGTTATTTTATGCCGGTCACTCCCTTCCAGCTAATCCAGTGTAAAACTCCTTGAGGGCAGGGCTTGTGGTCTTTTTGGACTTTTGTATCTCATAGTTCCCTGGCCAGGGTTGAGCCCATAGCAAGAGCTAAAGAAATACTTAATGTGTGGAACTCTTATCTTGAAGTGCCTATTTCTTCCCCAGCAGTTGTGTGTCAGAATCCCTCTTGGGTCTGCCTCATTGGTGTGGGGTACTGGAACTGTAAAAGCATATGGCTTACCATCTGCTGTTTATTGTTTCTGTTAGGTTGTGGTTTGCATTCACATACGGTATTTCTTTGGTTTCTGCAGCAACTGAGAATATTATATGCTTGGGGATCAAAAAAATGTAAACTATTTATAGATGGTAAAGTATTCTTGGGGTTGGGAAGTGTTGTTTTTCTCAAATGTGTGTATATTTGGCAGCTTTACGATAATCTCCCTGATGTAGCCTTTTCAGATCATGGCACTGTTGGGGTGGACCAGTCATGTGATGACCTTGGGTAATGAGGAGAGCAAACAGCCTTGGTCATCAAACACTGGGGGTTAACTTTGCCCTGCCTGGTGTGTGGGTTGTGAATTAAAGACTATTTATTTGGGCAGGTTAGTCCTCTGGCACAGTTCATTCTTGCCCAGTCTTTGTAGGATCTCATCACAATTCTTTGTGAGATGGCCCAGTGGAGTTTCTCTTATCAGTTTGCAACTCATTTAAAAAAAAAAAAAGCAACTGAGGGCTGAGAAATGAGTGCTTGAAACTCAATGGAGGAAGTTTTTTTTTTTTTGGGTGGGGGGTTATATATGATTGTTGGTAATTTGCGTATATATTGGGAACAGCTCTTGGTCTTACATTTTCATTTCCCTACGTATCTTAAATGCATGAAAAAACCCATTTATTCAGTGCTAATTGTGTACCTTTAATTGGAAGTAAACTTTTTTTTGTTTCCTACTGATCAATTTCTTTTTCTAGTTATATTGTTTTTGTTCATTCTACATGGAACTTTGAAGCCACCAAAAAACTTGAGAGCATCTAATTCAGTCCCTTAACTTAATAGAAAAATAAGGCTTTGAGAGTTGAGTGCTTGTGGAGCTGGGATTAGGGGGCTGTGATGTTAAATGCTCTTTCCTTCTGGTTTCTACATTTGTATATAATCAGATTTTGTCAAACAGACTCTTATTTGAAATCTTCTAGGCGACCTAGGTATACTGAAGTAACAAAACCTTCTGTCAGGCGAATACTTCTCTCACTCTCCCATGATCTCTTTTCAGTCTAGATTTTAATGTATTGGAGTTGATTAAAGTGAAGTCTATGGAGCTTATAGCATGGCCCCGTGGGGAGAGTGTTGGATTTGGAGTTGGGAGATTGCATTCGAATCCTAGCTCTGCTCTTTGCTGCTTGAATGACTGCCAAGTAAGTTGCCTTCTCTGGGCCCTAGTTTCCCCTTTTGTAAAAGAATTTGATTTACTTGAGGTCCTCTTCTAGCTGAAAAACCAGGATCCCATGATGGCATGACTAGGGTTTTATACACCTGGACCAGCCACTGTGTCCTTGGGCAAATGATTTCATTCGATTCAAATGAGATTTGGCTCCAAGACCTGAATTCACCTCTAGCTCCTATCTTCTGCCTTCGCACTTGGCTCTTGTACGTGGCTGTGTATCTCAGTCCCTATTTTTAGATGCTCTTGTTTGAGCTTTCTTTACCCATTGTTTTTCAGTTGTGTCCGACTCTTCGTGACCCCATTTGGGGTTTTCTTGGCAAAGATACTGGAGTGGTTTGCCATTTGCTTCTCCAGCTCATTTTGTAGATGAGGAAACTGAGGCAGAGTTAAGTGACTTGCCCAGGGTCACACAGCTAATAAGTGTCTGAGGCTAGATTTGAACTCAGGAAGAGGAGTCTTCCTGATGCCAGGCCTAGCACTGTATCCACTGTGAACCTACCTGCCCACACATGCCTTTTTTATACATACATGTGAGTGGAGTTTCTTCTACGGAGATAATCTGTATTGGCATCCCCCCCACCCCAATACTGTTGACCTCTTTCTTCCCCATCAGACAGTTGAGGTAGCCCCATGGTCAAGGTCTGCCTTTGGCTGTTCTTGGCGGGAGGGACTAGAGAGCTCCATTCTTCAGAGTCGAGTTTGGCAGGTGAGCCTTCTCTGCCCTCCCCAGCTGTTGACATAGGCTCTCAGCCTCCGCTTATGTCCGAAGGAGGGGTCACTTTTTACTGAGGGAGGCTCAGGTTTAAGGCTGTCTAGACACATTTCCCCTCTGAGGTTAAGATGCTAAGTCATTGCCTGATGGAGGTTTCTAGCTGGTTGGTGCTCTTCATTGTTTTTCTTCACACCCCAGCAGAATAACTTTCTCCTCCCCTTCTGTAGTCTTACAGAAGGACCTATGTGCCCCAAGGCAGGTCCCCTCAAACTCTGCATCACAGACTGATGTACTGGAAGAGTAGGGATAGGGATAAGGACCAAACTTGCAATTTCATCAGTGTAGAGAACTCCCAGAGGAGAAAATCCCTTCCACCAATGCAGATTGGCACCTCTGCAAATTTCTGGTGTTACACAGTTTGCTAGAACACTGAGACATTAAGTGACTTGTCCAGAGTCACACTAACCCATTTCTTCCTTGGCTCCAAGATCGCTATACCCACTTTGCCAAACTGACCGGTATGTGGAGTTCTGTTGATAAAGCTCTCTAAATCCTAAACCCCAGTTTAACTTGCTACCTGCCTTTCCCAGTGGAAAGTCTTTCCATCTCCCGCCCCACCCCCTCCTTGTGTGTCAGAGTCCTAGAATTCTGGAATATATCTCTAGTCCTTCCTCAGCCTACTGAGGTGAGTAGTAACCCTCCTCGTACTTCTTTCTTTTCCAGTTTCATAAACAGTGTGTCTTCCCTAAGGCTCACAGAGCTACTTTCTTGAATTTTTAAGGATTAGGCATTTAATAATTAAAGACCTCTCTAGCACTGAATGTTGCAGAGCTGAGACAATTTAAGCAAGGGGTGGGGTGGTTTGTGTGACTGTCTACAGTGTTCAGCCGTTTTGTGGTCTCCGCCAGCATTGTTCACTCAGCGGCATGTTCATAAAATTTCTTGGCCATTGGTGGAAAACTTTTTAATCTGGGTGTGGGAAAACTGCAAACGGTCTATACATTCAGTGTTAGTCCTGGGTTTCCCATTTATAGCTCCTCCGTTAGAAATGCTTAGGACTATTCCAAAAGGTATGTGGAGGGCTGGAGTTGAAATGAATGATGTCTATTTCAGAGGTGATATTGACTTTGAAGAGGCTTTTCCCTCCCACTTTCCACTCCCTCCATAGCTTCAGAATGCTAGCAGCTGGTAGGAATCAGGTCAGATTAGTGTGGGATAGACCCCTTCAGAAACTGCTCCCAGCAAATGGAAATTATTTTAAAACAAATTGATGTGGTTCTCCCCCCCCCCAAACCTAGTTGGAGGGCAAACAAGGCTGGATTCTGTGTGCTGCCTCCCCTGTATGCAAGACTTACTGAGTTCGTCGCTTCAAAATACTGAGCAAAACCTCTTAATTATGTTTTAAGCAAAAGCAATTAAGCTAACTTGAAATATTCATTCAGTGAACCTCTAACTCTATCAGTTACTGCTAGGTGTCTGGGATGCAG